AATAAACAATATAAAAATCTATTTAAAAGATAACTAAATATTTAGAGAACAATCACATGTTTATCTTTAAACTTTAACACGTAATTGAAAGCAATTATAATCATTTTCAACAATGAGCACAATGGATGTCAAATCAGTTACAATGTATACTATGTCTATATAGGAATCGTTCATTTGAATTTCAAATTAACATACATCTGTTATATTTCCCCGTACAATAAATAAATTATGATGCGCTCCACCTATTTTAGGTTCAATGGGGTCATAGTTAATAAGCAGATTGTTGTTTTACAATGCATATTTAAACCACCTGTCGGCCTGCTTAAAGTTCCATCGACGTACCCGCTACACAAATAAAGCATGACTCAGATAAAGAGAACTTAGCCCCCCTCCCACGCTACCAACTGCCACCCCCTTTTGACACATGGGCAAGAACTACCCCCAAAATATGTGCTTTGAGAGAGCATAAAAAGAGGGAGAGGAAAAGAGAAAGACGGTAACGGTTTGTGGATAGCCGGTTATATTTTTAATGTGAGTTCAGATCTACTTTTTCCAATGTTAAATTTCTTCTAGTGTTTCGTCATATGCTTGAAGGGTTCTACTCAATACGCATATTGTGATCCGATATTCTATGTTGGTCAAATATATATACTGTTTCAGTGTCTAAAGATAATAATGAAGCTTAATTCAAAATATTTAACTTTTATATATGATATTCACCTTGTTCTGTTGGTTTTACCGTTAATGCTTAAGGCTTCCCTTGATATAGGCGACCTCTTTCTGGCCAGAATGTCTTAATATTATTTTTGATAAAGCCAGCTCTCAAAGAGAGCGTTTACGCTTTCAATAATCAAATTTCTTGTTCTAGGTTTTTCCATATATCGTGCTGGTATTTCTGAAATAGTGTTGATCAAATAAATATAAGCTATACCCATAATCTATAGAAAATACCTGAGCTGATTTTTGGTGTCCGTAGAGCTGCTATGCATCTGTTTCAATATAATTGGTGCTTATCATTTGTCCTGGTGATTGTCGGATGAGCCTATTCCTTTTTGTTCTTGGTCTTCGTCTTGCTCTTGGTACGGCTCTTCTTCGCCTCGCTCATTTCGGACAATTTGGGTGAAGCTGCCAAGGAAACTTCGGGGGCCGTAACGGCACTAGCTTCCCCCTCTTTGGCAGCGGAACTAGTCCGTTTCTTCGAAGAGCTTCGCTTTTTTCCAGGCATGATAAAACACTATATTGTCAATAGAACACGAAACGAAAAATCACATGAATTTTGAAATTTAAAAATAAAAAAAAAAATCAGACAGGCCAAATGGAGTGTAGCTCACAAAATTTTGTAATGAATGAATTTCTGGATACACTGAAGTACCCTAAAAAAATTTGCGCTTCGAAAGTTCATGGATTGCTTAGCTTTGAAATTTGGGCTTCTATTCCATTTTGTTAAGTTTTTAGGTTTTTATATCCTGAACCCATTGAAAATAGTAAATCAGGGTATTATAATCTTGACAATTAATTAAATAATATTTATATTATATTAACTGCGCTAAATGGGTCCACTTTCACTCAAGATCGTTTTAACGTTATGAGCATT